CACCAGTTCACAAGAAAGCAGATAAAGACGTCCATGAAAATTACAGGCCAATAACAGTTCTCAATGCAGTTGACAAAGTTTTTGAGAAGGTGCTCAGTGAGCAAGCTACACATTCATTTGGTAACAAACTAAGCCCGTGCTTGACAGCATACAAGAAGCAAAACAGCACAGAAACTTCGCTGCTGAGACTGATTGAGGATTGGAAATTCGCCCTGGACAATAAACAGATAACAGCCATTCTCTCAACAGACATGAGCAAAGCCTTCGATTCCATGGTTCCAAGTCTCCTGCTAAAAAAGCTTGAATCCTATGGCCTGGCCGAAGATTCTCTGAGATTAATAACATCCTACTTTGAGCAAAGACAGAATAGGGTCAAACTAGGAAATATAAGAAGTGAATGGAGGGAAACAACAAGAGGATGCCCACAAGGATCAGCATTCGGTCCCATGTTGTGGAATATCTTTCAAAATGACTTGGTCTTCAAAATAATGCACTCTCAGATAAGCATGTATGCCGACGATCATCAGATCTATTATTCCGGAGAGAACGGTAATGAAGTTGAGATGCGTTTGAATAAAGACATCAAGACGGCCTCACAATGGTACAAGGACAATCATCTGAAAGCAAACAAAAACAAATACCAAGCGATGGTGATTCAAAATAGCAAGAAAAGCAAAATAAAGATAAAAGTGATGGCTGATGAAAACAATGAAGCAGAACAAACAAGATGCCTTAAGCTGCTTGGTGTTGAGGTTGACGATGAGCTAACTTTTGGCACTCATATCAGCAATTTGTGCAAGAGAGTGAGTCAGAGAATAGGTGTCTTATCTAGATTTCGTAATATAATACCTACCAATGCGAAACTAACAATCTACAAGTCAGCCATTCTCTCTCACTTAACATATTGCAGTACAGTCTGGCACTTCTGCAAAGTAGCAGATAAAAGAAAGATAGAGAGACTCCAAGAGAAAGCCCTTAGAGTTGTTTATAATGATAAGTCTACGCCATATGCACAACTCCTTATGAAAGCAAACCTGCCATCTCTCCAGAATAGACGACTTCAGGACATTGCCATACTTATGTATAAAGTTAAAAACGGCATAGCCCCACACTTTATAAAGGATTTGTTTGCAGTAAAAGAAACTCCCTATGAATTGAGAAACAGCAACTTTGTAATTCCGAAATTTCGTACGGTAAAAGAAGGAAAAAATTCAGTAAGATACTTTGGCCCATATCTGTGGAGCAAACTGAAGAGAGCTATCAAGGAGGTGACAACAATAACCCAATTCAAGAAATGTATAAGAAAAATGGACTTAGAAACTCTTTTAGACTGTAGACTTTAGTTTAGTTGTACATAGGATTTTTAGAAATTTTTATGTTTTAATAATTATACTGTAATTTCATATTTTATGCTCTTTAACTTTATATACTTTTTTCGTTGTGTCCCCAATTAGCTTGTAAGCTAAATATTTTTTGACACATTAATAAAGTTTTTGATTGATTGATTGATTGATTGGAGTGTACTTTGATCATCTGCTGTCAACAAGCAGCCTTTTTTCTGGTATTTATTTTTGCGACTAAAAGCCAAATTATTAAAGCCAAATGAATCAGTTCTCATGTAGCTGTTAACTGGAGACTAGATGCCTCCTGCTGACTTCAGGCACAGCCTTGCTTCAACACAAGTAGATATTTCAGGAGAGTGAGGAGCATGATTGTCATAATATAATAAAGCAGTTAGACTTTAGTAACAAAAAAATTGTGGTCCAACTTGCTGAGCTATGATGATAGCATAATTCTCATTTCAATGGGCCTGTTATAGTAAAATGATAAATGTGAGATAATTGAGAACAGACCAAGATAGAAAGGATCGAAAAAACAGTAATATTTTCTCATCAAATCTGACATGTTAGTTGAGTTGATTTTGACCATTTTCTCTTTTTTCAATTTAGTGAAGCTTGCTATATGGGAGGCTGCATTGGATCAGTTTGTAGATTCTTTGAGAAATATTCCAGAGGTAAACCCATTATAATTCAGCTTGAGATGTTGTCTTTATCAATAAGATTGCAACAGCCTAGTTATTGTTGCTTTACCCTGGAGTTTCGTATGATTGAGTTTGACACAACACATTGGATGTTGTGCTTTATTCGGCATACAATATTTTATTTGTTGAAAGTCGAAATATTTTATTTAATTGTGACAAACTTAGAAGTTTTTGCACAAAAATCCCTCATTTATTCTGAAAGTCAGGAAAAGTTTTAGGTGCTTTATTTCCTATGCCTGTCTCTTGAGTTGATCTAAAATGCAACTAGCACCCTTTGTATATCTTGCCTGGTGTAGTTAACCCAGATTAATCTTGAAAGAAATAATCATTTTAAGCTCAGTCACCTTTGATCTTGCTGCTAATGCTAATTGTAATGATTTGGGAATTGACAGGATTTGCAGAAGGGGCTTAAGCCCAACATATCAAGAAAACAAGTTTTACAGAAGTTAGGAGAGCTGTTAAGCTTACGGTATGTTTTTTTTATTTTTTATTCTGATTCTTTATTTTTAGCCATATCATGTGTACCCTGATGAAATTCTTGATTTTCTTGCTCTATGCCTAAATTTCTTGAAGCCTAGAGGCTTGACACAGACACTGAACTACCTTAATGTAAGAATTAATGAATACTCTGGCACCATGTTATATGTCACACTTTTTCATCAAAAATCATCATTTGACACAACGGGTATGAGAACCACGAGGAAAGACCTCTTTTAAGCATGAAAACTGGTACCTAAGATCAGAACTGGTAATGGGCAGTAAGCTATTTCCTTTTGTGGTGCCAGGTTGCGGAATCCGCTTGAATTGAACATAAGAAAGGCTTGCAGGAAAACTCTATCAAGGGTTGAGGCTGTAAGCACATTAATAGTTTTTCTTGACATCTTTACTTGAAAAATGGGTCTTGATTCTTTTTAATAGTTTTTATATTGTATATACATTTATGATAAAGTTTTAATTTGCATTGAGTTGTGTAATATCTCAAAGAAATTTTCAATCATCTCATGATATCAAAATTTTCTTGATATAATGTGTTTTTATAAACGATGAATGAATCTTTGTTTGGTTTTATCTATAGGCATCAGATAAATTTGTATTCA